ATCTTCTTGGGTTGATTCTATTTGGGGTCCTTTGTAGTTCTTGGGACTGGATCTTTGAGCACCTCTAGGTTTGGAAAGTTTTCTTACAGGATTTCATGGAACAGATCATCAATGCCCTTATGAGTCTCTTCACTTTCTGGGATACCAATTATACAGATGTTTGGACATTTGATGGTATCTAGTATTTTTCATATATTATTCTCATTTGGGGGGGCAATTTTATCAGTCTTTCTGTTGGATTTTTCTAGGCCAGCAATTTTATTTTCTATGTCTGAGATTCGATTTTCTGTACAATCTAGTCTGCTTTTAATACTTCAAGGGAGATTTTGACTTCCTGTATTATAGCCTTCATCTCTAACAGGTCCATTTGATTCTTTTTTATAGTGCCTATTTCCTCTTTTAAATCTTGCAAGAATTTCCTCACCTCCTAGAACTCGTCAGCTCTTTTCTTCTGCTGCTTCAGCAGTTCATTATCTCTCTTTTCTTCCATCACCATTAGCTTCGTCATTATGAATATTCTAAATTCTTTATCACACATTTCCATGATTTCCATTGAACTGTCTGTGAATGAAGAGGAGTTATTCTTTTCCCTTGGAGGAGAAGTATTTTCTTGTTTTCCCATATTTCTTGTGACCCTGCGGTGATTTCTAGTCATCTGATGAATGGTGTGTTTCTTTCTAATTCTTGAAGTTCAATCTGAGCATTTAGGAGCGTGCAGAAGGAGGTGATCTGAAATCTCTTTACTGTTTCATTTTTAACCCTTTGTGCAGCAGATTCAATGGCTATTGAGAAATATGTTAACCCTAATAGTATTTGGATGTTTGGCTGTGGTTCTCTTAGATCTGTCTAGAAACATAGGATTGAGGAGCAGAGTGATAAGACAAAATAAAAAGATAAGGAAACGGGGGGGGGGGAATAAAGAGAGAGAAAAAGAAGGGATAAAAAAGAAAAAACAATCAAAATATTTTTTAAAAAAAGCAAAAAATAAAAATCCATGTGGCGTACGCTAGTTCTCAGCAGCCATGGAAGAGTCTTCTGAAGGCCTGCCCCTTGTCTCTCCTGGAGGGGAGGGGGAAAGAGGGTTATTAGTAAGATAAAGGAGGGTCTGAAAGCCAAGAGAATAC